TTTTTGGGTTTTTTGAGAGGATTTTTTTTAGGGTTTTGTAAAAGGATTTTTTGGGGTTTTTGAGGGATTTTTTAAAGGTTTTTTAGAGGGATTTTTTAGGGTTTTTTAAGGGTTTTTTGGGGTTTTTTTAAAGGGAGCTTTAGGAGTTTTAAAAGGGATTTTTTGGGGTTTTTAAAAGGGATTTTTTGGGTTTTTTGAGGGATTTTTAAAGGGTTTTTTTTGAGGGATTTTTTAGGGTTTTTTAAAGAGATGTTTAGGGTTTTTTATGGGATTTTAAAGAGTTTTTAAACAGATTTTTAAGGGCCTTTTTACAATTTTTAGGGGTTTTTTTAGGGATTTTGAAGGGATTTTTAAAGGTTTTTTAGAGGGATTTTTTTGGATTTTAGACGGATTTTTTAGGGTTTTTTTAAAGGGATTCTTAAGGATTTTTTGAGAATTTTTTAAGGTATTTTTAGGGGTTTTTTGAAGGGATTTTTTTGGGTTTTTCAGGATGTTTTTTGGTTTTTTTAAGGGGATTTTTTTAGAGTTTTATAAGAGGCTTTTTAGGGATTTTTAAAGGGATTTTTTAGGAATTTTTAAAGGATTTTTTTGGTCTTTAAGAGGGGTTTTTAGGGTGTTTTAAGGGTTTTTTAAGGAATTTTTTAGGGTGTTTAAAGGGTTTTTTAGGGGCTTTTTAAGGGATTTTTTAAAGGGATTTTTTGGGTTTTTGAAGAGATTTTTAAAGGATTTTTAAGAGTTTTAAGGGATTTTTTAGGGTTTTTGAAAGGGATTTTTAAAGGATTTTTAAGGTTTTTCTAAAAGGATTTTTAGTTGTTTTTTAAAAGGATTTTTTAGGGTTTTTAATGGGATTTTTAGGGGGTTTTCAAAAGCATTTTTAAGGGATTTTTTTGGTTTTTTCATGGGAATTTTTTGGGATTTTTAAAGGGATTTTTGGGGTTTTTTTAGGGGCTTTTTGTTTTTGAAAGAGATTTTTTAGGGTTTTTTTAAAGGAATTTTTTGGTTTTTAAAGGGATTTTTTTGGTTTTTAAAAGGGGATTTTTAAGAGATTTTTAAGGGGTTTTTTTTGGGTTTTTAAAAGGGATTTTTAGGGTTTTTAAGGGGTTTTTTAAGGGGGTTTAAAGGGATTTTTAGGGGTTTTTAAAAGACATTTTTGTGGGTTTTTTTAGCTTTTTTTAAGGGATTTTAAGGTATTTTTAAGGATTTTTTTTAGGGTTTTTAGAAGATATTTTAGGTTTTTAAAGGGATTTTTTAGTGTTTTTGAGAGATTTTTGTTGCGGTTTTAAAGGGATTTTTTAGGGTTTTTTGAGGTTTTGTAAAAGGATTTTTTTGGGGATTTTAGAGGGATTTTTAAAGAGTTTTTTTGGGGGGATTTTTAGGGTTTTTTGAAGGGATTTTTTAGGATTATTTTAGGGTTTTTAAAGGGATTTTTTAGAGTTTTAAAAGGGATTTTTGAAGGGATTATTAAGGGGTTTTAATGAGATTTTTTTGGGGTTTTTTAAAGGAATTTTTAGAGTTTTTTAAATTGTTTTTTTAGGTTTATTGAGAGATTTTTTTCTTTGTTTTTAAAGGGGTTTTGGGGTTTTATGAGGGGGTTTTAAGGGATTTTTAAGGGATTTTTTTGGGGTTTTTTAAGGGATTTTTAGAATTTTTTAGGTTTTTTTTAAATAGTTTTTTTAGAGTATTTTAAAGGATTTTTTAGGGTTTTGGGGGGGCTTTTGGGGAGAATTTTAGGACTTTCCGGGGACAATTTTGGGGTAAATTTGAACATTTCGGGGAGGACTTTTTATTTCGGGATAAACTTGGGAATTCTGGGGGAGGGATTTTCAATTTTGGGATAAATTTTGGGGTAAAATTGAAGATTTTGGGGATTTCAGGGGAGAATTTTTCATTTTGGGAGCGATTTTGGGAGGGAATTCGGGGTAAATTTTAATATTTTGAGGATTCTGGGTTAGAATTTTTCC